ACCCCTCGCACGTCCCTCCTTCACCAGCGGGGCTGCAAGGCCCCTGAGCCTCGCCCCTCGTTGCCCGACTTCCTCCGGATTCCATTCCAGAGCGGCCTACCCCGGCGCCCCCAACCGTCTCCCCGCGGTCCCCAGCGTCCCCGGCTCTCACTCACCCTTGGCAGCAGGTGCCCCCCAATCTCCCCTCTCCTCAGCCTCGGAGCCCGCTCACCTCCGCGGTGGGAGTCGAGCTGTCCGGACCCAGCTCGGAGCTGGCGTCCGGGGTCCTCGGCGCGTCGGCGGAGCGCAGCGCCTCGAGCGGCAGACGCAGAGCCCGGGAAGGGGAGCCGGAGCGCAGGCTGGAGCCAGCTCGGCTACGCGCAGGCATCGCTCCGGCCCCGTCGGCGCCCCGCCGCCAGCAGCGGCCAGCCGAACCGGAACTGCTTCGGGGGGGCGGGGCGTATCGGAGAAGGGGCGAGGACAAAACCGGAAGGGAACCGGGAAACCCGAAGGGAGGCGAAAGCGCACGCGTCAGAGCCAACCATAGGCAGCCAAGGAGTCTTAATGAAGGTGGGAGAGTTCCAGTGGGGTTGCTGACTGGGGTAAGGGCCTAGTGGGAGCCGATTCTGAGTTCTTTGAAGGGGCTAGCTCCTCTTCATCCAGCCCCCACGTAACACTATTATTGCTCCTTTATTCTGACTGTGTCTATGCAATCTGACTGTAATCGCAATCATTGTTTCAACTATGCAAAGCAGATCTCTCACACACAGAAAGGTCAAGAAACACTGTAGCCTGACACAGCACAGTTAATATGTTTCCAAGCTGGTATTCCAACCCCCAGTTGTCATCAGAACCTGTGTTCTTTTCTGCCACTACTCTACCTAACAGAATGTCCCCTTCTAACCCAAGCCTAGGGCTGGCAGAAACCATGTCTAAAGCCATCTACAACTTGAATTTTAGGTCGTCTTTGGCTCTACTTCCTTGAACAATGCAGGACCAGCTTTGTTGTTTCTAAAGGGGTTGGGGGCAGGTTCTGAAGTGATAGAAGGGTAGACATGGGTGCCGCCTTGGTGTGGCCTTTCCCTTCAAACCAGACTCCAAGAGCAGGGCGGCCAGGAATCTGTTCAGTTCCCTCATACCCTTCAGGGCCTCCATGAAGCCACATGAGACGGCAAGACATCCATTGTAGGCAGAGGACTCTCCCATCCCCAAAATGTTTCTGATGGAGGTAGACATGTAGTTCAGTGGTTAGAGCACTTGCTGCCCTTGCAGGAGACCCAGATTCAATCCCCTGCCCCCACATGACACCTCACAACCTCCTAGAACTCTGATTCCAGAGGATTCAACACTGTCTTCTAGCCACAGCTGGCACTGAGTGCGTGTGACACACACACAGATGCAGGCACTCAAAACCGTGTTAAAACTTATTTTATGTCTCAGTGTTTGCCTGCATGTATGTCTGTGCTTCTAACCACTGAGCCATCTCTCCAGTACCAATAAAATATTTTTAATTGGACCGGGCAATGGTGGCACACGCCTTTAATCCCAGCACTCGGGAGGCAGAGGCAGGCGGATCTCTGTGAGTTCAAGACCAGCCTGGTCTACAGAGCTAGTTCCAGGACAGGCTCCAAAGCCACAGAGAAATCCTGTCTCGAAAAACCTAAAAAAAAAAAAAAAAAGAAAGAAAAAGAAATTAACTATCTTCGTTATAGAATCATCATTCAGATCTTTCATGTGCATTTTCTGGGCACACTTCAGATGCTTTCCTCCATGTCTCCCTAAGTTTTTCTAACCCCACAACTCAGACATTATCCCCGAGTTCCACTGCCGTAGGCTCCAATCCTGTGACATTGGGTCCCACAAAGTGTGTAGCCCACTTGGACCTGCAAAGCTCTTTTCTAACATTCATCACTGGGTGCTTTAACTCTGTCCTCAGAACCTAATAACCTATGCTAGGGCTCTAAACCTATGAATTAAACTATTTCAAAACAGCTACTGTATGCTAGACACAGTGAACCTTTTGCTTAACCCTTGAAACAACACACCTCCAGGGCAAGTGTATACTTAAGTTCACTGAAGAAACTGGTGGAGGTGGAGAAAGCTAGTGACTTGTTGGGGTCTAATTCCACGTTCTCAGAGACATTAAGAATGGGAGTTGACACAAGAGAAATAGGTCTTGTCCTCTTTGGAGGCCCCTGGGACTTGCTGAGTCACTTTGTCTCACCTGTTACTGCCAGTCTTTGGGAAGGAGACTTGACACCAGGGGGCAGAGAAGACGGAGCTGACAGCAGAGGCAGAGGGGAAGGCAGGCTGGCCCATGGCTGAAGCCTCCATCCCAAAGCCAGGGGAAGAAGTAGAAGCCACACCTTGCCCCAGTGTCCTGCAGCTCGAAGAGCTCCTGAGGGCGGGGAGAGCCTCTTGCAGCCGTGTGGACGAAGTTTGGCCCAACCTTTTCATAGGAGATGCGTGAGTGGCTGCTGGCAGGGTTGTAGGAGTAGGTCAAGAAGAAACAATCCTAGAACTCTTTACCAGCCGAGGTGGCCGAGAAGGAACAAGAACTAGTTACTTCTGGTCCACCCCAGGCCAGGAATTTCCTCCTGACTCCCTAAGCGCCCGGAGCTATTCAATGACCAGTTTCTAACAGCAGAGGGAGCTTGAGTGTTTTCAGTTTGTTTCTTGGGAAGGTCTGAGGGAGTTCCTGCCTAGGAGATCCCCTGGGTCTTCTTCAGGCACATCCTAGACAACTGGCCAGGCTGAGAAGCAATCACGTTTGGAATATGAAATGGAGTAGCCACAGATCATAGTTCTGGTCCCAGCTTGCGTCCTGTAGACACTGAGTGGGTGGAGCAGCCTGACCTAGGATGAATCAGGAAAGGTGTCACTTCTAAATATTTGTAGATTAGTAGCAGGTATGACGTGGTGACCAAGTGACTCTAGATCACGTACGTGAGTCAGAGGATTTGTGGCAAGAAGGGAGGGGCAGCCAGTTCTCTGGGGCTGAAGCAATCTCTTCCTGGCTTTGGTGGGAGCAAGCTGCCTAAGACAGCAAAAGGGATTTAAACATAACCCTGGCACCACCAGCTCTGCCAACAGAAAGTTCTGGGATGGAGAGTTGCAGGCCCAGCTCAGTGCAGATGAATTCTAGCTACCTTTCTACCCTTATACGCTCCCCAAATCGAGCCAGAGGCTCAGCCCACATCCAGTCTCCTTTCTGCCCTTCCCAGGGTGACAGCAAATAACCGCTTTGAGCTGTGGAAGTTGGGGATCACCCATGTGCTGAACGCCGCCCATGGGGGACTCTACTGTCAGGGAGGCCCTGACTTCTACGGCAGCAGTGTGAGCTACCTGGGGGTACCAGCACATGACCTCCCCGATTTCAATATCAGCACCTACTTCTCCTCAGCAGCTGACTTCATCCACCATGCCCTCAACACACCTGGGGGTACGTGATACGGACTACATATTTGATTCTGCTCACTTGTGGGGAGAATAGCCAGTTTCCCTCCATCCTCAGCATCCTCCCATCCCTGGTTTCTGCTTTGTTTGTTTCTCTTTTTTGTTGTTGTTTTAACAATCTTCTGCTCTATCCCTCAGCATCTTAGCTAATGACATTGCTTCACAGATGGGGAAAGTTAGCTGGGCAGCGGTGGTGCACATCTTTAATCCCAGCACTTGGGAGACAGAGGTACATCTCTGTGAGTTCAAGACCACTTTGGTCTACAGATTGTGTTCCAGGATAGCCAGGGCAACACAGAGAACCCATACCAAAAACAAACAAACAAACAAAAAACAGATCAGGTGGAGAAAGCCCAAATACCAAGGCATAATAAATTAGGAGCCGCCGCACAGCTGGAAGCTAGATCTCGCAGTCACCTGAACAGTTCTTACTCCACAACGGGCAGCCCTGGGAAAGCACCACATGGTACCCAGAGGTCTGCCCCAAACTACCTCCAAATGAACAAAACAAAGCACCCAGATACAACAGGCCTTGAAAGGCCTCGGAGCCCTTACTGTATATTCATCTGGGGAAAGAGCCATGGCCCTTGCTCTGTAACCCTGGACAAGTCAGTGTCCTCCGGGGATTCGTTTCCTCATTGTTCTGTGATGAGAGATTGGGTCAAGGTCACGTTACTTTGGAATAGCCAGAGCACTGTGACATCCTCTCTTTCTTCATCTGCCCATCCATCACCTAGTCGTTATTCACTCTGCGTCAGGGGAAGCACTGAATTCTAGGAAGCCAGACCTGCTCTTGTAGAACCTGCTAATCAAACTGTGATGTGCTCTGAGCGTTGCTGATGTGAGAGGGCAGATGGACCATGCGTCGGGGATTGGTCTCTGCGGCGGCTTCCCTAGGCACATGCAGACCGGACTAGCTGCTCAATGGCTCAAGTGCTGTGTTTAGAGTGGTGAGGAAAGCTGATAGGGAAGCCCTGTCTGAGTGTGACTTGATGGATGAGTAAGGGCTAGTCAGACCGAGATCAGAGGAAAGGTCAAAGGCCACGACAGCTCCAAGGCACCGAAAGTCTTCCTGTACTCATAGAGCTGAGGATCAAGGCAGGTTCAGAATGGAGAATGGCTAGTTCTCAGGGGCTTTTGTTTTGGTCTGTTTTTATTTTCGAGACCTCTGTGTTTTTCTAAGTAGCCCTAGCTGTCCTGAAACCAGTTCTGTGGAGCAGGCTGACTTTGAACTCAGAGATCTGCCTAGCCCTGCCTCCTGAGTACACCTCTGTGTGCCACCACCGCCTGGCCTCCAAGGCACCTGTAAGTCACGCTGAGGGTTTGGTCTGTAGTTCTACACAGGTGTTAGTCTACTCTTGAAAGATCAGGAAACTGTGGCTCAGAAAGGCTGAGACACTTGCACAGGGCCCCATAATGCACCCACGGCAGGTTTTGGGGAATGGAATTTGTGCTTGGGTAGCATCCCTTGGGTGGGCTGGCTGGTGGGAAGGAGTCAATCACCTGAAGTCTTTTTTTTTCTCCAGCTAAGGTGCTCGTGCACTGTGTGGTGGGTGTGAGCCGCTCTGCCACACTGGTCCTGGCTTACCTCATGCTGCATGAGCAGCTCTCCTTAAGGCAGGCAGTCCTTGCGGTAAGTCAGCACCGGTGGATCTTCCCCAACCGCGGCTTCCTCCGCCAGCTCCGCCAGTTGGACCAGCAACTGCGGGGTGCAGGCCAGAGCTAAGGAACCCGGTAAGGAAGGGCGAGGAGGCGAAGCTGAGTGTGGCTGGCAGTGAGAAATCAGCTGAGGACCTGGACGGGAAGCTGGTTGGCAGGGCCGCCTGCGGCTGGAGGTGTCCCGAGCTGCTAGGCCCCCTTGCCTGTCCAGGGCCTGCCAGGCCGTCCTCCCGCCTGAATTCTTTAGCTCTCCAGAGAACAGAGAAATGTGGAAGATGGCTTAGCGGGTAACAGCCCTTGCCACACAAGCATGAGGACCCGAGCCTGACTCTCCAGAACTCACACAAGGCGATAGGAGACAGACAAATGAACCCCGGAACTTAATGAACCTGGTATATGAAGGGAAAAACACATCAACAACAACAAAACAAGATACCCTGCTTCAAACAAGGTAGATGGCAAAGCATCAATGCCTGAAGTTGACCTCTGACCTCCACTTACACTGTGGTACTCAAATATTCAAACAAGTGTGCACACATGGCCAGAGGGCGAGAGAGTAAAAGAGAGAGATGAGGAAGGATGGTTAGGGTTAAGAAGCTCTATGTGCTGTAGGGAAGGCCTCCCTACATGCTTTTGAGGGCTACCCAGTCCCTCCTAAGAGCCTGTGAGACTTACCAAATTCCCAGCCAGCAGCAGAGCCAGTCCGGGCCCCTACACTTCCTCTGCAGTGACTGGTGTTAGTCACCAAGAAATGTGTCCCCCACGACGGCAGGTCCACTGCTGTGCCATCCCCTTTAGACAGGCACGAGAAATGCGACAGCAGCAGATTTTGCGGCATGCCTAGTCGCTCTACTTCCTTAGCCTGGAGTCTCAGACACCCTGGCCTCCAACCTCAACATCTTGCCCATCAGACAGCTGGTCTGGGGGAAGTTGGTTGAACAGAGCTACACCATTGCCCAATTTGTAGAAATGACATCTACAAAATCGCCTCTGTCATGAGAGCCTCCAGACAGTACAGCTGTGCCCAGCAACCCTGCAGCTGAGGCCTGTGCAGAGAGGCCATCTCTGTTCTCCTCATTTCTCCTGGCACCTCTAGCTACTTGGTCTTATACACAGAACTCAGGGTGAAGGAGGTTAGGTAGTAGCTCTGGCCCCTGTGCTGACACACCCCAGTCAGTATAGGCCTTGGTTTGCCCGCCTGTAACGTGAAGGTTCTCTCTTCTCCAGAGCCAGTCGTTATCCTCAGTCACAAGGCTCTGCCACTTTGCCACTCTGGCTCTGGCCCTGGCCCTGGCCCTATTGGCAGCCTTAGCCCAGGTGGATGCCCACAGGATGGAAAGGGCCCAGGGTGGTGCTCACCCTCAAACCTGCTGCTTCATCGGCTTCCTCCAGCGTTCTGCACACCCTTACAGCTGCCGGCTTCAGTCTTCATAGGTGGGAGTGGGCTGTCAGCCAAGCTCTGAGGTTCTGGAACAGGGGTCCCCAAGGTCCCTGGTGGGCCAAGGAGGATGATTCTCAATGTTTTCTCCAGCTCTCCAGCAGTGGTTGAGTCTTAGCTCCCAGGAGTTCTATGTATAAAAGGCTGAGGGAGTGTGTGTGGTAGGGCTGGGGATATTATGATATGGGTGTATGGCTAGGGCATCTGGATTAAAAGGAGAGGATTTAATCTCAAATGCAGTGGGCTATCACTAGGCATACCCCTGGCATCCCTATCTTTGAGAAAGGGAGAAGGCCGTGAAGGGAAGAGCTGCTCCCAGATAAAGGCTCTGAGCACATGAACCCGCTTGGTAGTCCCCTACATCTTTGTCTGGGTTACCTGCACTGCGTCTGCCAGACCTTAGTCCTGGGCTAGTTACCCCCAGATAGAGACTTCTAGGCCTATGTGCTGATGTTCGCCATGCCACCTGTGTGTGCCTTGAGTGTCATCTCTGTCCTCAGCATATACCTTTTCAGCTCTTCTGCCCTTGTTTGGGTAACCTTTGAAAGTCAAGGGAATTGGAGGGGGTGTCTGTCTGTCTCTTTTGGATAGTGCTGGAATGGAACTCGGGGCTTCAACCACTACTGTTCCACTAAACAAACACCTCCAAGCCCTGTAGGGAGTAGTTTTTTGTTTTGTTTTATGTGATTTTTTTTTAAAAAAACAGGATTTCCTAGAACTCACTATATAGACCAGGCTGTCCTTGAACTCACTATATAGACCAGGCTGTCCTTGAACTTACAGAAATTTGTCTGCTTCTATCTAGGTGGTGCTAGGATTAAAGGCGTGCACCACCACTCTCTGGCTCTAAAGGGAATTTTTTTGCTTTTTATTATTTTATTTTATTATTATTATTATTATTTTTTGGTTTTTCGAGACAGGGTTTCTCTGTGGCTTTGGAGCCTGTCCTGGAACTAGCTCTGTAGATCAGGCTGGTCTCGAACTCACAGAGATCCGCCTGCCTCTGCCTCCTGAGTGCTGGGATTAAAGGCGTGTGCCACCATCGCCCGGCTTCTAAAGGGAATTTGAAAGATGGTTTGCTTGATATTTCCTTCTCCCCGCCCTGCCACCTCGTGCCACACAGCACAGGCAACCCCTCTGAGCTTCTTGTGTGCCTAACATTAAGACTGAGGCCTGGGACTGACCATTCCCTGGGACCAGTGGATGAGTAGGGAGTGGCAAGGGGGGAAGCAGAAGGGAGAGGACAGCATGCTTTATAATTAAACTCCAATCAAAAAATAGAAACAGCATCAAGTGTGCAGAGACAGGCGACTGGAAGCCAGCAGTCCACGTTGTCCGCCAGAGACGATTACAGCCTGGGCAGGATCTCCTCACAGGTGGGTGCAATGGCCCTAACCCAGGGGCCCCTGGAAATGCTGGGTAGTGGTGCCCAGAGCACCTCTGCCTATGTTATGTGTGTTGGGCAACTGTGAGGATTGGGTTGGAGGTCCAAATGGGCCAGAGGCTCAGAACGTGGCCTCTCACCACTATGTGATCTTGGGCCTACTACTTTATTTCTCTGAGCCTCGGTTTTCTCATCAGAAAAGTGGGGAGATCCATACTGCCTGCTTCCTGAGAGTACTCTGTGGACTCGGGAAGATGTGACTTCTGGGCTCTGTCTGGTCTGTAATGTGTTTCCTTAAGAAGCACAGAGATCCAGGGGAAACCTCTGTCGACGGTAGCGACCTCGCCACACTACGGCTCTGCTGAGTCCTGAAAGAATGAGAGTGATTACAATAACAGAAATAACTTGATGCTCCATTCACAGGGCATCTCCCATGATGCACTGAGTCTAGGAGGCGTATATCGTTGATGATGTCATGGGCGTCTTCTTCCAGCAGCCCCCAGTGAAGATTCAGGCTCAGAGACTCTCCGGCCCATCTTCCTCCAGGGGTGCAGGGATGCATGCTGGGCAGAGACCACCACAGGCTCTCCCTTGGCATCTGCCTGCCATGGTCCCCAAGGTCCCTTTCCCAGACTCCTCAATATTCTCTAGTGAGAACTCCATCATCCCCACCTGGCCTGTGCTCCCCTCGGGGAGAGGGGAGGCAGAGAGAGGACAGCAGGGGAGACCAGGAGGAACGTGTCCTGGGGTCACAGCAAACAACAGCCCTGTCCCCAGGCGGCCTGAAGCTGTGGGCATACAGGGTGATATTCTAGAAGGCTGTGGGTCCTGGGAGAACCTGGAGGAAGGCAGCGGAGAACACGCAGAGATGAGCGATACTGAGGCCAACAGAAAACAAGTGTGTAGTCCTGTAAACAGCGGCAGTGTTTGCCCACAGAGGCAGCTGCTTGCTGAAGCTACGGGGAAGCAGAGGCCAGGTACCAACAGGGAGTAGCTAGCTCCCTGTTGTGAAGAGTGTGAAGGAACAGGCCTGTTCTTACAGGACGGACATTCAGCCATGTCTCATTTTGACATGGCCGAGATGTACAAGTCAGTGTCAAGTGGGGGCCTCCGTAAACTAAGAGGCAGCAAGAATCAAGGGAACTGAGTCCCCGGGCTGCCTTTGGGGGTGAGGGTAGGGGATAAATCTTAAGGGATGGGTCACTGACTGACAGATCCCTCAGTGGACCTGAGCGGTTAGCTGGGCTCCAGACACCTGAGCACAAGAAGTAAGGCCCTAAGTATGACTTGACAATGAGACCCTAAGTCCAAGAATAACCTTCCCTACAGATCTAGGTTAGACATGGAAGGCTACAAACTGCCTCTAAACCCCTGACATGGTTCCTGGGGCACAGTTGTGCTGCCTGGCAGTCACTGACCACCAGGGGGCAGCCTTACCTCATGCCAAATTTAGCAGGCCTGTGAGGGGCCTGTGGTTTTCCAAAATTCCTGTCTGTTTCCACTCAGAGCTGGAGCAGTCTACATGGTGGCTCCAGACCAGAGTGACTGTTGGACTCCTCTGGACTCCGGGGGTCCCCTCCAACCCAATGTCCCTTGGTCTGGCTTTACTTCATGTAGAATCACTCCTGTCTCTTACAGCCCACAAAATACCAGAGAATCCATAGAAGTCAGGCAACCCCACCAATCTTTCACATGAGAAGCTCGGGCCAAGACAGGAATGAAAACTTGCTTAGGTTACAGAATGTATCCTGGCCAAGTTTTAAGTCTGTTCTCTAGGTACCTCTTCAACTGGTCCCGCATCTTCAGGAGGGTTTTAGGGATGTATATCTTCAGTGCCAGAGACACCAGGGAGAAGGGGCACTGGTCAGTCCAAGCAGCCCAGGTTTGCTCTCCCCCACCCCCAGCCCCCATTGGCTCGAGTGCATGGACCTGGAATTCTAGCCGCTTCACAGCGTCTGTGTTCTGGACGGAATCTGCATTAGGACTGTTCCACTCACATACAGAATCCCGTCCCTGCACCCAATCCCCCATTCCTGGCCCCAGACCATGCCCTAGGTAGGTGGCAGGCCACTCAGCCTGCCCTGAGAGGTCACAGTGGGGGATGAGGGAGAAAGCCCGGTCCTCACTTCCTCCCAGCTCACCATCCACCCGCTGGGTGAGCTTGGCCAAGCCAGTGGCCTCCTGGGTGCCTGTTTCCTTTTCCCGTCTTGGCACTGCCTACCAGAAGGAAAAGATGCTTTACCCAGTCTGTACCTTCTCTAGTTACTCTTTGAGGGAACCAGGGGAAGTTGGCCAAGATAGGTCCCCCTTCCCTCTACGGCACCAGGCCCGGGTTCTGGTTCCTCTGACACCCCAGCTCTGCAGGGTCCCGGATGACCTGAGCCAGCTGACTCCAGACACAGCCCACCCCATCCGGGTGAGGCCTGCACAGCTGCACTGGCCCGAGTCACGGGGGTAAGAAGGAAAAGCCTGGGGCCTGTAGGCAGATGTGTAGCTGAGCCCTGACAGGCCCCCTACAGGAGACACATATGTTGGTGACCACCCCCTGGCAATTGGAAGGTTTGGGGAAGGAATTGAAGTCACTCGGAAGTGGTTATCAACCCCAGGGTTGTCATCAGCTGTTTGTCTTTGAATGTCACTCAATTGACACTCTGGGCACCAGTGTCCCTCCGTGGAAAACGAGGGACAGAGCACAAGTGAGGCATTCTGCGTATGAAAGGCCCCAGCTCACCAGTGCAAGCCTGTAGCTGGACTACTCTGACCCTGGACAATGCTCTGATCAAGCACCTGCAAGTGGGGGTTTGAGGCCCAGACCTAGGGACAGCAGGGGTGGGGGTTGAGCTGCCTGGGTTTGGAGGGACATCCCAGGTGCTTTCTGAGAGCCTCAACCAGCCGGGGTTTCCAGCAGCTTAAGGTATAAGCTCTGTACTGATTTGTCCTACAGAGGTCCCCAAGGCCAAAGTTTCTAACATCCACAGCCTCAGGAAAGGTCTACTTGGCGCCATGGCATTGACAAGGGAATTCTAGTTCTCCTTGTTCCCAGGGAACAGGTTCTAGGTTCTAGCCTCATTCAGCATAGCTGAAACTGGCCCCACAGCCTCCCAGGGGCTCCTGGTACTGCTTCACAGCCCCCCACCCCCCACACCGGCCACTGGATCCGTCCTTGGGGAGTCTGCTCCAGCAGCTGTCGTGGCCACTCTGTTCCAGGATGGACTCACTGCAGAAGCAGGACCTTCGGAGGCCAAAGATTCATGGGGCAGTCCAGGTGTCCTCCTACCAGCCACCCACTCTGGCCTCGCTGCAGCGATTGCTGTGGGTCCGTCGGAACGCCACACTGACCCACATCAATGAAGTCTGGCCCAACCTTTTCTTGGGAGATGCGTAAGTGAGCCCCATGGAGGAGCTGGGGGGGGGGCAGAAGGGTGAGAGGCAGTACAAACCTCCTCCAGTTGGCATCTCTGCTTCTCAGCATCAATTACATTTGTCTTTCCTCTTATGTTTATTATGGCAATAGAACACCAGTAAGAAAAAGATACAAAATACACAGTTTCATCTTTCAGAAACAAGGAGTTACTTATGCAAGTTCCCTTTCTCGTGGATAGCCACACTTTAATTGACAATTTTTTTGACAAGGTATCAAGTACCCCAAGTTGGCTTGAACTCCCTATATACCTGAGGACACCTCAGCTTTTGACCCTCTAGCCTCTACCTCCAAAGTACTGGGATTGCAAGGGTACATCAGCACGACTGTTTTATGCTAGAGATCAAACCCAGGGTGTATGCTAGGCAAATCGTTGCATGTGCGAAGTAAGCACTCCACAAATTAAGCTATGTGCCTAGCCTGTCTAAAATAATTATCATCATTGATACGAAATCTCACTAGTAGCCCTGTGTGTCCCAGAACTCACTAGAAGAACAGGCTGGCCTCACACTAATAAAGATCCTCCTGCCTCTGCCTTTTAAATGTTGGGATTCAGTCACATGCTACCTTGCCAGTCTCATTGGTTTTTTGTTTGTTTGTTTGTTTTGTTGTTGTTGTTGTTGTTGTTTTTGGTTTTTTCGAGATAGGGTTAGGGTTTCTCTGTGGTTTTGGAGCCTGTCCTGGAACTAGCTCTTGTAGACCAGGCTGGTCTCGAACTCACAGAGATCCGCCTGCCTCTGCTTCCCGAGTGCTGGGATTAAAGGCGTGCGCCACCACCGCCCGGCTGTTGTTGTTGTTTTTGAGACAGGGTTTCTCTTTAGCTTTGGAGCCTGTCCTTGAACTAGCTCTTGTAGACCAGGTTAGCCTTGAACTCACAGAGATCCTCCCGCCTCTGCCTCCCCGAGTGCTGGGATTAAAGGTGTGTGCCACCACTGCCCTGCTCCCATTTTTTGTTTTTGTTTGAGATAGGGTCTCACTATAACCTTGGCTAACCTGGAATTGTCTAGGTAGACTGTGCTAGTCTTGAACTTACAAGGCATGTGCCACTGCGCCCCACCGAATCCCCTCCCCTTTTTCTCGTTCCCACTAGTCTGGTTCTGGTGTCATATGTATGTAATGCATAAGTGATTTTCTGTAGCTATGTAAAACTTAGGACCCACAGTTGAGCAAATACATAGGATGCTCTCTGGGTCTGTGTGTTTTATTTCACTTAATACAACTTCCATTTACACCCATCTCAAAAGCACTCTTTATTTTTCTTTCAAGCTTTACCCCCTAAACAATATAGATGTGCCTTTTGTCTGCCTTCCCCCTCCCACCCCCGAGATAGGGTTTCTCTGTAGCTTTGGAGTTTGTCCTGGAACTAGCTCTTGTAGACCAGGCTAGTTTCAAACTCACAGAGATCTGCCTGCTTCTTCCTCGCAAGCGTTGGGATTAAAGGCGTGCGCCAACACCACCCAGCTCCTTTTGTCTGCCTTCTAAAATTGAAATGATTCTTGAATTGTTTTTTGTCTTGTGGGGCTAAAGAAATCGCTCAGCAGTTAAGAGCACTTACTGTTCTTGCAGAAGATCTGAGTTTGGTTCCCAGCGCCCATGTGGCAGATGACAACTCCAGATTCAGGGGATCTGATGCCCTCTTCTGACTTCCACAGGCACCTGCATGCACCTGGTGCACATAAACTCACAGGAGCACACACATGCATAGAAATTTAAAAGGAACTTTTTGTGTGTATGCACATGTATATCTGTATGTATTCATGTGTGAATACATTTGCATACTTGCTACAGTGCATCTGTGGAGGTCAGAGAACACATTTTCCGTCTGTTGTCCATTGTTGTACATGCCTGGCTAGCCAGCCCATGAGCTTCTGGGACTTTTCTGTCTCTTCCATCCATCTCATCATAGGAGCCATGGTATATTACAGACCCACACTACTGCATTTGGATTTTATGTAGGTGCTTGGGATTTGAACTTCAGGTCCTCATACCTGTGTGACAAACAGCCCATAGTGTGTGTGTTCATGGACAGCATCATATGTTTAAAATTGTGTGACACAATGTTATTCTGTATGTAGCTATTATTATATAATAGTCCACTGTATGACTAGACCATAAATTCTTCATTTGTGCTGACCCCACTTTAAACTACTATAGTGATCCAAGAGCTGTTTAGTAAAGGTGTTCTGGAAAAACACGAGTTTCCCAAGGTTTCTACAAGAGAGAAAAAGAGGCAGACAGACAGAGAGAGAGAAGAAAAACTTGTTTTTCCCTAAGAGTTTTCTTAACTCTGAAGTGGACTGGAGAGCTGACTCAACAGGTGAGAGCACTGGCTGCTTTCCAGAGGTCCCAAGTTCAGTTCCCAGCACCCACAGGGCAGCTCACAACTGTTGTCCCATGGGATCCGATGCTCTCTTCTGATGTGCAGATGGACATGCAGAAAAGACCTGCAAAAACACACAAATACATCTTTAGGATTAATTAAAGCATGGATTAATATTCCTCTTTCCACAGAGATAAAAATCCTTGTAGAATTTTAACAAATATGTGCTTTTTCACAGTTCTATTTTGGGTAAAAATGCCATCGCTTTCAATACTGTTTTGAGATGAGCTTTCTACATGACACCTACTACATAGTTAAAAATTCTTAGAGCATTCTGCCTTATCTCTTGTATTTTCACAGGTTCCTGATGAAACTTAAACATCTCCCCTTGTTTACCTGCATTTGCCATATTTTAGTGATTCATGGCATCTCATAATTTATCCACACAGGAATTTGCTTCACGCAAGGGGTGTGTGCCACATCCCCCAGTGGGTATCCAAAACTAAAGACAGTGTCAAATGCTCACAATATAGGCTGCCTTTTTTCCTTCTAATAATAAATACCTTTGTAAAGTTTAGTTTGTAAATTAGATTAAGAAAGTAACACTGATAATAACAAGACAGCAATTACTATATTAAGTAAGGGCTAATTGAACACAGGTCTGTGATACTGTGACAGTTAATCTTATAATTGAGAAAGCTTCTCAACAATTAAAGTAGCTTACGAAAGGGTAAGTCTTGTCCTTGTTCTAGCTTCATAAAACATTGACCAAAGCCCGCTTGAGGAGGAAAGACTTTCTTTGGATTACAGATACAGTTGGCTGTCAGTAGAAGCCCAGGTAGGAGCTGAAGCAGAAGCCGTGGAGGAACACTGCCTATAACCTACTCCCTCTGGCTTGCTCAGCTACCTTTCTTCTACAGCCAGGCCCGCCTGCTAGGGATTGCACCACCCACGGTGGGCTGCATCCTCTTATATCAATTAGCAACTGAAAATGCCCCAGAGACATGTTCCTAGGCCAGCCAGGGTGGCAGTGCCTCAATTGAGTTCCTCTACATAGATTGGTAAGGTTGACAACTACCGCTAGCCATGACAGCCTTGGGCACAACATGGTAGGACAGTGTAAAGCTTAAAATCTATTCATTGTTTACTTATAAACTTAAAAAAATATTTTGAAGCCACAGTTGACTGTGGGTAAATGAAACTGTGAAAAGTAAAACCACAGATGAAAGGTTTGCTGTACCATACTTTATAACCTATTATAAAGTAATTAAGTTCATTTTCTGTCAAAAAATAGTGCTCAACTGGGCACTGGTGGCACATGCCTTTAATCCCAGCACTAAGGAGTTAGAGGCAGGAGGATCTCTGTGAGGTCGAGGCCAGCCTGGTCTACAGAGCAAGTTCCAGGACAGCCAGGGACTATACAGAAAAACCCTGTCTTAAAAAAAAAATTCTCTTTCCTAATATTTCAGTTTTAAATACCACCAAATCCAGCTTCTATATTGTCTTTTGGCACATTTTGAATTCTTCCTTTTAATCTGTTCCTAGAAGAAAGTGTTTATACAAAGTCTACACACATTTCTAAAGCTTTGGATGCATGTAGCTAAACATCCCTCCAGGAAGTTCCCCGGGGTAAAAGGTCTAGAGCAGTGCTTCTCAATCTGTGGGCCATGACCCCTTCACAGGGGTCACATAGAGGATAACCTGTGTATCAGATATTTACATTATACTTCATAACAGTAGCAAAATTACAGTTATGAAGTAGCAGCAAAATAACTGTCTGGTTGGGGTCACCATGGACTACTGCATTAAAGGGTTGCAGACTTAGTCAGGGTGAGAAGCGCTGCGGTAGGGTATTGCCCTTGGCAGAGAAGTTCACGGTCCAGTCTCTACCCTTGGAGGAGAACAGAGGTGTGAGGTACACCTTCACCCCCTAACTTCTCATGTGCCCTTCCTCCAGGTATGCTGCACGAGACAAGAATCGTCTTATCCAACTGGGCATCACCCATGTTGTGAATGTTGCTGCGGGCAAGTTTCAGGTGGACACCGGTGCCAAGTTTTATCGCGGAACACCTCTGGAGTACTATGGCATTGAAGCTGATGATAATCCCTTCTTTGACCTCAGTGTCTACTTTCTGCCTGTTGCTCGATACATCAGAGATGCCCTCAACACTCCCCAAAGTAAGCTGCTGGGGACGGGACTGGGCAGGTTGGGGTCAGGGTGGGATGAGACGGTAGCACCAGTGGGTAGGGAGCCTGTGGTACCAACCCCAGCAGCGACCGTCTCACCATTGAATGAGCATACCGTGGAGCCTGACAGCTGCAGATAGGGCTACGATTCAGCATGGGGGCTGGAGAGATGGCTCAGGTGTTCAGTGCTTGCTGTGCACCATGAGGCTCGGTAGTCACTCCCTGGAACCTACGTGAAAAAGGCAGGCATGGGAATGTGTGCTTGTCATCCCAGAGTTAGGGAGATGAAAATCAGGATATCTGAGTGAGGTTCACTGGCAGGGCAGCCTAGCCTGGAAGAGACCCTGTCTCAAAAAAACCAAGGTAGACAGAGCCTGAGGAGCAACCAACACATGGCCTTGACATGCATGTGTACACATATGCACACACACCTATACACTCGTGTGTACCACCACATCAACACACACACAATCATATGCACACGCACCTATACACTCGTGTGTACCACCACATCAACACACACAATCATATGCACACGCACCTATACACTCGTGTGTACCACCACATCAACACACACACACACAATCATATGCACACACACCTATACACTCGTGTGTACCACCACATCAACACACACACAATCATATGCACACACACCCATACACTCGTGTGTACCACCACATCAACACACACACAATCATATGCACACACACCCATACACTCGTGTGTACCACCACATCAACACACACACAATCATATGCACACACACCCATACACTCGTGTGTACCACCACATCAACACACACAATCATATGCACACACACCTATACACTCATGTGTACCACCACATCAACACACACACAATCATATGCACACACACCTATATACTCGTGTGTACCACCACATCAACACACACAATCATATGTACACACACACAATCATATGCACACATACCTATACACTCGTGTGTGCCACCACATCAACACACACACAATCATATGCACACACCCATACACTCGTGTGTACCACCACATCAACACACACACACACACAATCATTATGGTCACTAGTATAACTATATCCTTTAGAAAGAGGCCTTCCCATTAGGCAGAAATCATAACACCTAGCAAAGACTCAGAAAACATAAGTAGGTACAAGGCTTCATGGGTTAGAGAGAGAGAGAGAGAGAGCAGACTGAGGGGAAAGGAAGAGGGTATTCCCTGTGATGTAAATCCAAGGGACTCTGAAAGTTGGGTGACCCTCTCCTAGAGTTGCAATGGCTATCAGAGGATGCCCCTCTGGGCCAAAAGAGGGGACCCAAGTGCTCACGTTAGCCCTACACTAAATTGTTATGTGACCTTGAGCCTCCCTTGCCCCATTTGACAATGAGGACAGTGTCCGGTTTCCAGGGTGTTGGGACAGGTGGACAGAAGGGATGACAAAGGTGAGGTGGTGCAGGTGGCCAATGCTAGTTGGGTCTTCCTACAGACCGCGTGCTGGTGCACTGCGCCATGGGGGTAAGCCGCTCAGCCACGGTTGTCCTGGCCTTCCTCATGATCTGCGAGAACATGACGCTGGTCGATGCCATCCAGACGGTGCAGGCCCACCGAGATATCTGCCCCAACTCGGGCTTTCTCCGACAACTCCAGGTTCTGGACAACAGGCTGAGGCAGGAAACGGGGCGGCTCTGACTCAGGGGGCGCCTGAAGCCCTGACCCCTCCATCCAGCATGGTCCAACCTGACATGCCTGGCCCCGGGGATGACAGTCTCTGCTGTTTCCAGAGACCCTGATATGTTACCATCAAGTCAGGGCTCCACTGAGGCAGAGGCAGGGCTGGCTGGGTGGCACTTTCACCAGGTGGAGTCCCTGACCCAATACAGAAATTCTTTATGCCGAAGAAAATTCAGTCTGTCTCTATAATAAAAGGTTCATCATAATAAAGGATGTGTGTGAGACAATGGCTTTATTGTCATGAAGGCCTGGAGCCTAAGGATGGCTTGCTGGTTCTGACTCAGCAGCCTGGCAGAGGGAGGAGCCTAAGGGTGTGACAAGGCTCCCTGAGGAGAGAGTGTGGAGGGGATGAGTTAGTGATAGTGTTGTTTCAGGAGGAAGTGTGATGCGGCGCTGGGGACTGGGCAGTTTCTCCCTCATTCTGTCCCTTTCATACCCTCACCCATGGCTAAATTCCAAGGGTCACATCCTTTCTGGGCCATGGCCAAAATTCACTTTTGGGGGTCAGCAAGATGGCTCATCAAATAAAAGTGTTTGTAGCACGAGCCCTGACAACCTGAGATCAGTCTCCACCTTATAAAGGAGAGAATGGGCTCCGTGACGGTGTCCTCTTACCTCCACATTTGTGCCATGGCAACGTACACACCCTAACACACCATGCTGCACACAGAAATAGTAAAGCAAGAGAAGTTTACTTTAAAATAAAGTGACTGAAGTTTCAGTGCTACCAAACCTGAGGGCTTGAGTTCCGTCCCTGGGACCCACAGGCAGAGAGAGAGAAGCATCTCCCACTGACTGTCCTCCCACCTCATACACTTACTGTGACATGAATGCACTGCCTCCAAAAGACAAGTGTACGAACATCAGTGAACAGTCTGAAAAACTCATTGAAAAACTCACTGCTGGTGCGGGGGCTGCAGTGCAGTGGCCAGCACTTGCCTGGCTACATAAACCTCTGGGTTTGATCCACGATGCCATGAATAACACAGCAGCAAGCTTATGCCCTAACCTTGTGAATTCAAGGCCAGCCTAGATGACATAGTAGCTTCCAGGCCAGGGGCTAGGGATGTAGCTCAGGAGAGTGCTTGCCTAGTGTGCACAGGCTCTAGGTTTGGTCCTCATGTCTTAATTAAGGTTTCTATTGCTGTAAAGAGACACCGTGACCATGCAGCTCTTCTAAAGGAAAATATGTAATTGGGGCTGGATTACCGTTTCCGAGGTTTAGCCCATTGTTGTCAAGGAGCATGGTGGCGTGCAGGCAGACGTGGTGCTGGAGAGCTGGTTTAGAGCTCTACATCGGGATTGGCAGGCAGCAGGAAGAGAGAGCGGCACTGGGCCTGGCTTGAGCATTTGAAGTCTCAAAGCCTGCCCCCAGTGACGCATTTCCTCTAAGGTCACACTTACTCCAACAAGGCCACAGCTAAAAGTGTCACTTCCTATGCACTTATGGGGGCCATTTTCATTCAAATCATCACATCTGGTATGACATAAACCATGTGTGCACATGTCTCAGCCATGCATTCCCAGCACTCAGAAGATAGAAGCAGAAATATCAGAAGTTCAAAGTCATCCCCAGTACATAGTGAGTTTGAGGCCAGCCTGGGCTACATGAGAAAAGGAGGAAGATAGGACAGAAAGATCCCCTTGGGTTCCTCACTGCTAAACAGCACAGCCCTGTCCTGGTTTTGAGGGTAAAATGATAGGTTTTTTTCCCCTCATCCCTGGCTGTTCCCACTTGTCCGATGCTTTCTCTGTCTGACCCTAACAAAGAGTATGAAGATTTCTCCAGGTTCTGGCCCCTTGCCTCCCTGATGCTCCTACATTTCTGTGTCAAATACCTGATAGAAGCTACTTAAAGAAGGACGTCATTATTATGGTTCGCAATTTCTGACAAAATTAATGGTAGCTCCATTTGTGGCAGGAATGTAAGGCCGCTCACACTGTATGCCCAGGCGTCAGAGAACTCAGTGAGGTGTTTGAGCGGGAGCAGCCCACATAAGGCTCATGTGTTTGAATGTTTGGTCCTGCTGCCCGAAGATCAGTATACAAAGCTCTCAGCTACTGCTCCAGCACCATGCCTGTCTACTTGTTGCCATGATGATCACGGACTAATCCTCTAAAACTATCAGCAAGCAAGCCCCCAGTTAACTGCTTTCTTTTATAAAAATGGCCTTGGTCAAGGTGTCTTTATACAGCAACAGCGCAGTGACTACAACATCAGACCAGATTCAGAGATCTCGGGCTAAAATTAGAATGTAGACTATCAGCTGTAACATATCTCTGTGTCCCAAGGCTCCCAAACCTCCCCAGACTGCACCTCCCACTGAGATCCAAACATTCAAACAGATGAGCCTGGAGGGGACATATCAGACTCAAACCATAGTAGCTGCCATCCTGGACGAGGTTCCTGAAACCCCTTCAGGTACAGCTCCGTGCGTCCCTGTGGGTTTTATACCACTATGGCCTGGCCCCATAACAAAGGCCATGAAAGAGACTCGATCCTGCCATGTTTTGGGACTGGGTGGTCTCTGCTCCAGCTGCACTTGCATGCACTGTCTCTCAACCAGCTCGCCCGATACCCTCCCCCTATAAGGACCCTTGAATCCTTCAGAGTTCCCACTAAGACTGCAGAGCCCTTATGGTTTCCCTACCTTTTCCCAAGGCAGCCCTAGATTCTGAACTCCATCTACAGAGTCCCAAGAATGTGCCCTGCTGAAACCTGATCTCTAGGCCAAAGGGAAGGCTCTGTCCCAGCCTCCAGACACCCTAGTCCAGGCCGCAGGGGCAGACTGCCCACATGAACACACCAGGATGACTCTGGAGTCACTATTTTGGGTGTTGCTGACAGCATATGAGCCAGAAATAGCAACAAGGACTGAGTTGTCTGTCAGGAGAAGAACCTCTGGGCATTGGGGGTAAGTTGATTGGGCTGCTACCTAGGACTGTGTCTGATCTGGTTAATTCCAGACCCTACCAACTCCAGGTTGAACTGAAAACAGCTGTCTCTCCCTAGTGTTGGTGCAGCCATACATGGTCTGGCCTAGATTCTGGGATGAAGCTGGGCACAGCAGCATGAGCCGTGTGCCGTGCTCCAGCTGGGATATAAAGCCCCTCTACACTAGGGCATCTGACAGCCATCTAGGACTGGGACCAAGTGTCCCAGAGATGTGACAGAGTCAGCTGGCAGCACCTGCCCTAGAGCCTGAACCCACATCCCATTCCGATTTCTTCCTCAGAGTCTCAGTTTGCTCGTCTATAAATTGGGGTTGTGAATCCAGACCTGTCAAGCCAGAATACTTTTATGTAGATTATGAATTAAAAAAGAAATAAAGGGAAGTTAAGGTCCAGCCCAGGTCACCCTGCCAGGTACCCTGACTTAGGGCACTGTCCACTGAGGAGGAAGGGGCACATTTTCTTTCAGGCATTGCTCAACAGTGCTTCTGTCCATGAATGTAGTTCACTTGGACAGCTACCTTGTCCAGTATGCACAGAGGGGACCCACTCATCCGAGAAGGCATCATTTCCCAATCCCCCAGGGTTGGACTGGCTGGGGAAAGGTAAAGGAAGCTGACTAACGTTTGTCAGGTGAGTGTAACTGTTGTTTTTTACTCTTTGCTGTGCTGGGGGTCTGCCACCCAGCTCCCAAATAAATCGCCAACATGGAGTTTTATTCTTTCTTATAAATGTCCAGTCTTAGCTTGGCTTATTTCTAGCCAGCTTTTCTTTTTAGTAAAATAATTTATTTTTATTGTATGTACATTAGTGTTTTGCCTGCATGTATGCCTGTGTGTGAGTGTAGAATCCCTTGCAAGGGAGGAGTTACAGACAGTTGTGAGCTGCCGTGTGAGTGCTGGGAATTGAACCCTGGTCCTCTGGAAGAGCAACCAGGGCTCTTAACCGCTGAACCGTTTCACTAGCTCCTAGCCAGCTTTTTCTAACTTATATTATCCCACTACCTTTTGCCTCTGGTCTCTTCTTACTTTGGTATATCTTACTTTCACTCTTACTCTGTGGGTGGCTGGGTGACTGGGTGGCTGGGTGACTGAGTGGCTGGGTGTCTGGGTGGCTGGGTGACTGGGTGTCTGGGTGGCTGGGTGACTGGGTGTCTGGGTGGCTGGGTGCTGGGTAGCTGGGTGTCTGGGTGTCTGGGTGTCTGGGTGACTGGGTGTCTGGGTGACTGGGTGGCTGAGTGGCTGGGTGGCTGGGTGACTGGGTGGCTGGGTGACTGGGTGTCTGGGTGTCTGGGTGTCTGGGTGGCTGGGTGACTGGGTGTCTGGGTGGCTGGGTGACTGAGTGGCTGGGTGACTGGGTGGCTGGGTGGCTGAGTGGCTGGGTGGCTGGGTGACTGGGTGGCTGGGTGGCTGGGTGACTGGTTGACTGGGTGGCTGGGTGGCTGGGTGGCCGGGTGGTTGAGTGGCTGGGTGGCTGGGTGGCTGGGTGACTGGGTGGCTGGGTGGTTGAATGGCTGGGTGGTTGAGTAGCTGGGTAGCTGAGTGGCTGGGTGGTTGGGTATCTGGCCTCTGATGGTCATCCTCTCCTTGTTCTCTTGCTCCTTCTTTTCTCTCTGCCTGCTAGCCCTGCCTATCCTTTCTCCTGCTTTGCCATTGGCCATTCAGCTCTTTATTAGATCAACCAGGTGTTTTAGACAGGCAAAGAATCACAGCTTCACAGAGTTAAACAAATGCAACGTAAAAGAATGCAACACATCTTTACATCATTAAGACAAATATTCCACACCATAAACAAATGTAACACAACTTAAAATAATATTCTACAACATATAACCACGTGACTACACCTCAGCCAATTAAGACAGAAGTGGAATTATTGCATACACTCCTGAAAAGTCTCTTTCACAGGAAATGGTGTGTTAGCTGGGCGTGGCTGTGCACACCTTTAATCCTAGCACTTGGAAGGCAGAGGCAGGCGGATCTCTGTGAGTTTAGGATCAGCCTGGT